TATGTATGATATACTAGCATTATTTAGTAGAGACATCATTGATGTGGTTATTATTGCACCATCAACATTGAAACACTAATGATCGCCCTGGTCAGCCAAGTTCTATATGTGTTGACCACCGGGTATATAGCAAAAACCCAGCTTAAACGTAATAAAAATCCTGTGAATCCATGCATAAATCCTGTTAAAATGGCTTACCTCATACAAAACGACGCCGCTCCAGTCGCTTCTTCGTGATTCCTGCGCAGAATCCGCGACCACTTGCTCCTTGCCGTCGTTAAAAGGGGAGGGAGGCCCCAACTCTCTGGCAGCTCCCAACTCCTCCCGAAACCAAACCCCACATGACTCCAAGCCGATGACCACAACCCCCCTCTCTCGCTCTCGAACGAAAGCATCTTCGGCTGTTTCATTGTTGTTCGACTAGGCTCCTTTGACGACGTTCTCTCCAAGTCCGATCGGAAGCTACGGCTTCTCAATCGGAAGCAAGGGAGCTCGTTCGTTGAGGTGTAGATATTGCAAGCATCGCTTCTTCGGTCCTTCGGTGTTGTCCGACTCCACTGTATCCCATGACTTTCCCTTCCTGTGGAGCGAAAGTTATGACATTTGGATTGGAAACAAGAACGGAGGCCCGCTTGCTGTGGAGGTGACTTTCTCCCTCACACTCGCTTCTTCGGCTCCTTCGTGTTGTTCGACTTCGCTCCTTCTACGACCTCCCATCCAGCCGGATCGGAAGTCACACACATTTTGATCGGAAGCAAGAGGAGCTTGCTGGCTATGAAGATGACTTTCTCCCTTTCATAAGCTTCTTCGGCCAAATATTATTATTATTATATTTTAATTAATTAAATTTAATTGTAAATTAATATTTATTAATTAATGACAATGATAGTTATTTATAATTATTTACTTAACTATAATTAATTATGATAATGGATTACGGTGCGACATCTATGACGAGGTAAGTGAGCGATCCGTTCAGCCCCAAAATTCTGTCCTCGGCGTTCATGTCGAGCCGATAAACCACCAACGCACACTTTTATCTAGCATGGTGGGAGGGAACCCAGTGCGACACCTACGACGAGGTAGGTAGATCTAGTGCACGATTTTTTTAGCGTGGCTGGGATAACTTTTAAGTACCCGTACGTGGCTCTGTACCTGCAGGGAAACAACTGCTCTTTTTGTAACAGGTACCGAAGAACCATACACGTCTTTCTTTGACGTGGTGGGGATAAAGATTTTATAGCCGCGGTGTCCTCGTACGAGGCACCTACTGTACACGCTTTTCTCTAGCGTGGTGAGAGGCCCAGTTTTCTGTAGTTTTCTCCTAAATGGGGGAGACGCTGGGAGGCTACCGAAATTTTTGATAAACCTATGACTGCACACGGACCTGATTTGAATTCAAAGGACAATGAGAGACTTGTGAGCTTGGACTTGGACTTGAGCTTAAATCAGAACAGAACTTAAGTGATTTAATAAGGAGTTGAACCCAAGTAAAAATGAAATTAAACTAAAATCAATTCTGAACTTGCAAGGACTTTAAATGAATTCAAACTTGAATTTGATTTGAATATCAAGTGAACATAATTTGAACTTAAGCAAAGACTTGAGTTGGACCACAGGGGACTTGGACAAGATTTGGATTGCTTGAACTTGGGCCATTTGGACTTGTATTCAAGCAAATGGAAAGGACTATGTCATAACTTGAACTCAATTGAACAAATACAAAGAACTTGAGTTTGAACAACAATGGACTTGAACTGAGTTTGAACTTGTGCAAGAGGGTATGATCATACTTAAAATTAAATTATAAGTTGCAAAGCAATGAGCCCTAAATACAAATGGAATAGAGGTGAAGCTTATGAATCAAAGGAATGTGAGCATCATTCATTTACAAGATTGTAAAGAACATCATTCAGTGATATAGTATTTCTCAATGAACTTATGACCTACCAATGGCCGTATAAAGAATAAGCAGTGATCATGACTATTCACATGCAAATCATATGCTGAAGGCTTGTGGTGGATAGAATAAGCATGAACATGAATCTATTGCAGATAAAATAACCCACTTACAAGCAACTACAATAAACTTATGAATGTTCGTAAATGACTATGAGACATATTTAGGTGAATGTGATAATGTTTCACGATTGACTTCAATGAACGAATGCCACAACATTATTACAATCAATCACCTTTCATTGTTGAATAAACACATCGATCAATTGCAAGCAAACGATAGATGATGTGAAACATGTGCAAGTGTATATGGGCCCTTGCAGAAAATTTGACATACACATCAAATGCTATCCACATGCAAAATATAAGGTGAATACATTAAATACGAACTCCTACGAGTTATTGAAGGAGACCCGCTATAAATATAAAGTGCCACCCACGAGGAAATACAGAAGGGTACGACAAATATAAGCTCCTACAAGCCACTATAGGAGACCTATGGTTTACCCAAGCTATAGTCCACAAACAAGATACAAAGTGACTATGTCAAATGCAGGTGCTTACAAGTTGTAGTGGGAAACTCCTCGTTCACACAACAAGCTTTCCACAAGCAAAATACAAAAGGGGTTCAACAAGTTTAAGCTCCTACAACCCAAAGCAGGAGATTAGTTAGTGCGCTACAATCTACCTGCATAAATCATATAGGTAGTTCACGACAGTCTACCTGTATAAAGCAAAACAATTCTATTTAGAAGCTTCTGTGTACTGCCACCAGATCTACAACCCTCGTACAAGAAGAAAGAATGCACCAACAAAGTCTGAAATAAAGCCCCGCATATGCACTATAATTTGTATACACATAAGGACACAAAAAGGGGTAAGTATAAACCAAAACCCGTATGGGCCCCGGTGAGTGTGTTATTGGTACACACGTGATGTCTAGGCATGCTGTGTGGGTCAATAAGTGAATTCAAGTTTGAACCCGATCCTTCTACGCTGATCAACAAGAGTTGACAGGGTTCAAACCATAAAAAAAATATACGATGGTGGCGACCGGTATATTTGTCTTAATACATTCATATTAGATCTTCAAGGCCTATAACAATGAGAATTTACTAATGAAGGCACAAAGCCTATGAAATCAACAAAAGAAAATGCCCCCAAACATCGCTCGAGAGAGTCAACAGGGTTCAATCAACAAAAGAAAATGCCCCCAAACACCGCATGGGCCCCAGCGAGCGTGTTATTGGTACACACATGAGATCTAGGAATGCTGCGCGGGTCAATAAATGAATTCAAGTTCGAACCCGAGCCTTCTATACAAATCAATAGGAGTCGATATGGTTTGAACCATCAAACAAATATACGATTCCGGCGATCGATATATTTCTTTTAATACATTCATATTAACAATATGAATTCACTAACAAAGGCATAAACCTACAAAACCTAATCCTCTGCCGATATCTTGATAGAGTTGACATGGTTCTTCCAGAAAATTCAAATATCTTCAAGTGAATTCAATGTCACCCCGATGATGGCCATGTTGAATGCAAATCTCAATCGGAGAGGTTCATAAATAATTTCAAATGCCACTCAAATACCCGAAAATCTAGAATTCCAAAATTATCCAAATCCCAAAAATATTTAAAATTGAAATAATACATCAACCACTTAAAGCAAAACACATCCATTCACCCTCTGTAATAGTTTGACGAGATGAATAGATTGAAATTTACTTCAGCTCACATAGAGCTAATGTCTGGTCGAAAATATCACTAGGATTCATTCTCAAACAATTTCCTGCCAGTAAGGACGTTGTACTTGTTCTCTAACCGGCAGTATTGCCACCAAATGGCACCGCAAGATAAACGGTTATGACCCGGGGCAGTCTGAACCGAGAGGTTTTGCCGCCAAATGACACCACAGATACCAGTTATTACCAGAGCCAGTACGTTCCTTATTAGCATCAAATCCTTTAGATATGAATCAATAGGATATGATTGATAGGGCACAAAGCCCTCTGTTAGTTAAGGTGGATTCAAATTTGTCCCCTTAGGAAAATATCCCCCTCTACGTCTACAAGGTCCCCTTGCACGAAGCAACCCATGGCTGCCGACAAGGATCCTTCTGTCAGGTTGGGTCGACTACCTCCTCTAACTAAGTAGACTAGAGACCATAATGGCTCGGGACGACGGACCATGTGATCTTGATCGGGGTCATCATCCATTCCCCCACCATTCCCTTTAAGTGCAAGATTGTGCAATTTTCAATTTTAAATATCAAATCACCAAATCTCCCAATCCTCCAAATTCCCATATTCTCTAATAATTTCAAATGTTCATTACTGCTATTATATGCCATATAACATGTGTCTCTACGTATCTGATTGATGACTAGCCTTAATTGAAAGTTCTCTCTCGTCACCTGGAGGGGTAATTAACTATAGGGGCTTGCGCCTATAGGAAACCAGAAATCAGATCATAAAGTCCTTGCAAAATGAGGTCGAAATCACTAGGTAGTGTCTTATCTACAAACCCACTGCCTTCCAAAATTTACCCTGAAACTTCTTCTATTAAAACTTCCCTTGCAGAAAAAAAAAGCATATAGCAGGCGGAGGCCGAGGCCGAGGCCGAAATTTCGGAGCCCACAATATGGAATGGCAAGGTCAGCATCATACAGTGATCACAGAAAGATTGACATGAACTCAAAGAACTTTTTTGGGTGATGGCAGATCAAGAGGAGCTTTTGATATAATTTTTTTCCATGATATTTTCCTAATATATTTAGGGACAATTTCATACCTACCCTTCAAATCATAGCTATTGTTGGTGAGGAAACTTTATTTACAAGAGTTTCTTTTTTAAATCTCTAATCATAAAGTTCTAAACTAAAGATCACACCTTATACAGATCTTCACAATAAACAGCTTTATTATGATCCAAACATTGGTTTCTTACAAGCCCAATGATTATTCGTCAAGAACGAGTTATTTGACATTCAATGATCAATATTCTCTCACTCAACAGCTAATAAATATAGTGAAATCTGTACATCAACTTATCATATAATCCAAAAAAAAAAAAAGTGAACAAACAAACAATTCATGTAATCATAACACAGGCAGAAGCAGTAAGTTCCAAGAAAAACCTCAAACCAATATCAACAACAATAATGAAATCAATACAGACAGCACTGTTGCATAACCATGCTCTTGAGCTCCCCCCGGCCTCCATGTAACTCCTCGCGATTCTTCAATCATGATAGGAAACTTGCAAGTCTGTGTCGACGGATCTTGATTTGTAATAGTTCCCAAGTTTGAAAAACCACAGGCTCTATCATCTTGATCATTCTTCTGATAATAGCTATTAAATGCATAAGAGATGTTACCACGAGCATCCAGATCACTACAGGAGGTCTTATAACCCAGACTTGTACAATCTGCATTTCCACAAGCAAAACTCACACTTGAAGCCACATTTGGATCACTAAGGCTAGCTGATGGTTTCAGTACACACCATCTCTTCTCCAGATACTTGACTCCCTTAGCAGAAACCAGCTCAGTGTTTCCAATCTTCAGCTGGTATTTAGTTCTCCCATCAAAGGTAAAAATCCCCCAATGCCTCTCAAAGTTCCCTGGCTGAATGCTCTTCTCATCCTCATCAATCAAACTGAACAAATAGACATCCAATGTTCCTGGCCTCATTGGAGTTCCCTGCCCAATGTGATTCATAAGGCCCTGATTGAACTTCTGAGCATACTGAACATTAGCATTTATATTACCATCTGTTGGCCAACCAATCTCACCAACTATGATTGATATGTTGCTAAATCCATTCTTCTTCAGAGCCGAAACAAGAGTGTCATGGTTAGCATCCAAGGTGTTTGAGTATGTCGTCGAACCGTCGATGATGGGGGATGATGAACCATCAAAGAAGGCATAGTCTACTGGGAAGTTTGGGTCATTGAGAAGACTAATAAAAGGGTAGATATTGACTGTAAAAGGGGAAGAGTTGTCATTGAGAAATTTGACAATGGAAAGCATGAGGTCTTTGATGTCAGCACGAAAGTCGCCATCAGAAGGCTTGCCCGTTACTGACTCGTAGACATCAGCATTGAGGGGGATTGTCGCCTTTACTTGATTTCCAAGGCCTGCTTTGATAAGTGCACTTTGGATGTTTTGGAGGGCTGGGAAGGTTGATTGCAGGTAAGTTCCATTTAATGTTTTGAGGAATGGTTCATTCCCAACTGCAACATAGCTGTAGGAAAGTAAAACATGGTAGTTTGAGTATAGAATATGAGATGGAAGCATTTTCAACTTGCCGAAGAAAATAAAAGGTTGGATACAGCCCTCAATACTACTCTAATGTTTACTATATTTTTTGTATAACAAATAAATTTGAACTTCGTTTAGGACTATTTTTATTGCTTCTTAAATCAGAATTTTAGTACAAAAATTTTACAACTCTATTTTAAGAAGCAATGAAAGCAATAAAAAAAACATCCTAAACGAAGCCTTCCTATCATTATTCTTATCTTTAAATGTAGTTTGAAAGCAATAAAACAATCGTCCTAAACGAAGCCTTACGGTCTAAATACATTTAACCAAATCATGAATTTGAAAATTTTCATTAATTTTCAAAAGATGATTAGTAACTTCCTGCACCAAATGAGCCCTTATAAAAAATCATAACCAAAGACAAAAGAAAATGAAACATTACAACATGCAAGACAAAACCAGTTAACTTGATAAACATCCCATAACATTTCATAAACTATACTCAAAAAGACAAAACAGTCATGTACAATATGCATCAATAAGAAAAAAATTCATAAAGGAGGCACCTTATATTAACTCCATCATTAACATAAGAAGAAACATTCTTCGAAACCCATATCTCTGCTGCATTCATGTCGGCAGCCAGACCTGGAAGCATGTCATTTTGAATGCCTACCATCACCTGAATCCCAGTGTTTTTTAGAGCATTTAGAGTTCCCTCCTCTGCTCCAAATAGCTTCAGCTTTTCAATTCCGTTATCTTTAAGCATCTGAACCACTATTGAAGGAGATAAAGGATGGCTTGCTTGTGTACCCAAATTAACACCAATGCCATTTACAAAACCAACACAAAAAATCCAATACAAGACAACCAGAACTTCAGAAAATCTCCCCATATACTTAAAATACTTACAAGAGAGTCTCTAACTAGAAGTCCTTGGAAAACCTTAAAAAAAGTTAAAACTAGATGTCATGGTAATTAAAGAAAAGCAAAGTTGCCCCTGAAAGCAAAGGCCAAGATGCTATAATGGAAAAAGAGAAAGAGGGCAGCATGACTAGAACAAGCACCAGAAAATTAGAAGATGGGGAAGAAGAAAAAGAAGAAGAGACCTCCCAAGAACATGAGGTGTAGATAAGAGAGGAAATCAGATTTGGATATATAAGTTAGAAAGAGAAAGGAATGAACTAGTCTACAGGGAACAAGGTGAGAATGAAAAATGTATTAAACTAAGGGGAATGTTTTGCTATTGAAAGCAGTGTGGAAAAGATAAAAAGTTGGAGATAAATTTTTTTGGAAAGAGAGTAGTTACATTTTATTATATTTGCTAATTGGATTATTCATGAAAATTAATGAAACATAGAAAATGGCTTAAAGTTTTGAAAAGGAAAGTAGTGGGGAAGGAGAGGAGTGAGTGCACAAGGAGCAAAAGAGATGGAGATGAGAAGTTAAGGATCTTGTTCTGGAGTAAGAGAAGAGAGAAAGAATCCAACCAAAGAATAGCTTAGATGCGCTGAGATTGGTATAATTACAAGTCTTAGCGCTTTTAATCGTTAGACAACATGTGAGGGGTAAAATTTCCAAGAAAATCAAGCTTGTTTACAGTTTATAAACTCTTTTTTTTTTTTGAACTGATTAGTTTCCAAGCATAAGATTGGTTTCTTTTTTACTTTAAGCGAAAGCTGCTTTAAATGTTAACTGAAGGTTTCTTTTTTACTTTAACTTTTTTTTGTGCAAGTTAAAATATATCATCATTTTTAAAGCGTGTTACTAACTTAGAAAAAACAAAATGTGCCGCTGCCAAAATCCACTAACGCATTCCATTACAAGACTGGCTTCACTCCATTTTGTTAAAGATTGAACTTTTCTTTGGAGTTTTATGTATCTACATAGAGTTTTAAGAGTCATGAGGGTAGTTTAAAAGTCCACACATGAATGTTTCAAAGGAAAGGCATGTTGATCCTATGAAAGAGGGTGATAATAAAAAAATATATAATTTATATTATGATGGGTTTTAAATTATTAGATTTGTATTGAGCTAGGTACAATATAAACTCTTTATATATTGCATTAACCTCAATGCAAGTCCAATGATCTTTAAATCCATCATAATATAAATTGTACCAGAATATCCTGGCATAAATTTTTTTCCCAATTGAAAGACTTATGTGTAGATTGAGAGAGGTGTTTGGGATGAGTTCCAGTGAATTTTTAACCTTGTCAAGAATGGGGAAGAGGAGAAAGGCGCACAAAAATAACATATTGAAACTAGAATGCGTGTGATTCAATTTTCTCACCTACTTCCATGGTATTGTGAAGGTATTACACAAATTTAGAAGAACAACATATTTGTAAATAAGTATGTAATAAATCAATATTTGCATAATTGAAAAATACATTTTGTGTAAATATAGATAAAAGAAAAAATTGTATTAGAATATTTTTATCAAATTTTTTATTATAATTGGTTTTGAAGCCCTTGCAAAGGAGGAAAATTTCAAATTAATGGCGATGAGTGCAAAATAATGTTTTTTTTTGTATTACAGGAATCTCAAAGCAGATCCAAGAGCTTTAAAGCTCATCTTAGTCATTATTTTATAAGAAAATCTAACATAATATTTTTTTCCTGGATAAAATTTAATCTATTTTGATTTTATGTTCATCATCCTTGAGAGTTTTAGTAGCTTAAACATAATTAATTTAAAACGAAAATTTTTGCTAACACACTAATCTCTAATGTACTTTTGATCTTTGCTATGCACTTTAACCTTTATGAATTGAAAACTTTGAATCCACCTCCAAATACGTAAAACGTCAAACTAGCCTAGTGGACTACATCATCATCGTCATTATTGCTAACTCATTAACCTAAAAGAACATTTAGCATATCATTATATGGCAACCAAAAAATATAGATATCATCATATCCAAATGAGTTACCTAGGTTTATTTGGTACAATATTGTGATATGTTGAAGTCACTTTTTGCCCACATAAAAAAGCATCAAATTATTCATATACTATGGGAGCAAAATGCCCATGCAGATGCTCTCTTAAAGCTCATTACATCAACAATAGGGGATCTCTTCAAAAGGTGTATCGAGAAAATACTCTTTTTGAGCATTCAAGGTCCTTAGGTTATACAAACCATTTTTGAGTCAAGCGAACCCTCATGGATGTATCCTATCTTATTATTCTTGTAAATGGTGTGCTTCCAAAAGGCTTGATAGTTACATTGGGACTTCGAAGACAAGCAGCTAACTTTGCAATTATTGGTGGAGAGTTGTATAAGCAGGCCTTTACCGGGCCATACCATAAATGTCTCCCACCATCATAGGCTAATTATGTGCTACGGGAAGTCCATTCAGGCATATGTGGAGAGCACTTAGGATGGAAAGCACTCGCTCTTAAGATTATGAGGCAAGGGTTCTATAGACCTACGGTAAAGAAAGACGCACTAGAGTTTGTATAAAAATGCAACAATTTCTAGCTACACTCCAGCCTCACCTATTCACGTTCCATAGATTTATCATCACTTCAATGCCCATGGCCTTTCGCCTAATGGGAGATCGATATAATGGGTCCCTTTCCTGTGGCTATCGGACAATGAAAGTTTATCATCTTGACTTTGGACTACTTCACTAAATGGGAAGAGGTTGAATCCCTTACAAAAATCACTGAAGTAAACACCAAACAATTTATTTAAAACAATATAATATATTATTTTGGCCTATCGACAAAGTTCATTATCAATAATGGGACTCAATTTACAAAAAAAAAAACCATCAAGACATTCTACAAGGACCTCCATATATAATTGGTGTACAAAATGGTGGCTTATCCACAAAAAATGTGCATACTGAAGTTACAAACAAAACAATACTGAAGAGACTGAAGGCGCACTTCAGGAATGCTGGGAGCAATGGGTTGATGAACTCCCCATTGTCTTTTGGACCTATCGCACCACCTCCACGACTCTCATAGGGGAAACACCAAACAATGTTTGCTTCGACACTTAAATAGTCATCTCGATCTATATCATAGTTTCAAACCTAATAATGTAATTTTTTTACTTCAATAATGATAAGAAACTTCGTCATTACCTAGATCTCCTCCTAGAATTCAAAGATTGCTGCTTACTTCCAAAGAGTAGCTCACCACTAAAACATAAAGGTTAAACATCGGTGCATCTCCATGAAAGACTTGGTTCTATGTATCCATGAGGCAGCTGACAAAGGACTCCATTGAAACAAACTCTCCCCCTTTGGGAAGGCCCTTTTATAATGGTGGCAATGTTTAAGCCCGAAACTTTCAAGCTAAATGATGTTGATGGAAAAGTGCTACCTTGGACTTGAAACACTAAGAATATTCAAAAATATTATCAGCAACTATTACGAAAGCTACATACTATATAATTTAAATATTTTGAATTAAGTATTATGTAGCTCTTATATCCTTTAAGCTACATTGTATATTATGTTTCAAGACAATAAAATTCAATTTGATCATTATCATTAATGTCTCCTTTTTCAAGAAATGCCATTACGATCAACCAAAATCCAATTCTTACTATAAATTCGAGAAATACACAACATTTGTTATATCATAGTCTTTAGATGATCAATCCCAACATGATTCAATCTGACCTCTTCCACACAGGTTAATATCATCAAGCAACACTTTAACAAATAACGGGAGATAAGTCAAACATCCTAGGTGGATTTCTCTCAACCTTTTCCTAACAGACTAACATCATCAGCTGGCCTCCCAATGTATAACTATGGAAAGGCTTAAAAATATTTGTTAAGCTCTATCAAGCCTTCAAAGATACATGCTACCTATATGAGAAGCTTCGTTAAAATATAAATAGCATAACTATGCTAATTCATTTTAACATTAAAATATAGACATCTCAAGTAACTAAACATATATACTAAGATACATAAAAAGAGATAATCACATAGTAAAAAATACTATGTATTACATGACCACAACTATTGACCTCATGTTTATACGAGGTCATTGGCCTAAACTACTCATCCATATGATGGTTGATAGTTACCCATTTGTCAATCATCCAGTCTATAATCATCAAATCTACACTCAATCAAGCTTACAACCTTGTTTGATTTAAAAAGGTTAAGTTTTGAAAAGATTAATTTTATTTGGGAGAATTTAATTTCTTGAATTTTAGTTTTGAAATCAAATACATCATTATGAATGATATATCACCTCAAGAGGTAAAACTAACATTGCATAATACGTTCATATTATAAAACTTTGAGTTCATCCTTATTATTGCAGTCAAACTCGGGAAAGAATCACATATGACCCCGGAGGGTCAAAATAATATTTGATCAAGTGTTTGACTATAATAATCTAGATAAATGATCATTAATTTTATGATCAAAGTCATGATAAAATAATAATATATCTTTACAAGGAAAGAAGATACTGTTTACTATCAATCATTTGAATATGTCGATAATAATCCTTGACTTTAATTTTCTCAAAGATAATTAATTGAATTTTGAAAAAACTAGATTTTTAAAATTGATATAGGTTCTAAATCTCCTACGAGCATAAGCCCTTGTTGTTAATTATATCATAAGAAATTATAGTTTCTTACAAAAACTATCAATTAAAATAATGGTAAAAATTTTATATAGAATTCTCAATGAGTGATATCAAAGGATCGAAATTAGATTTTTAAATGGGAATGGATCAAATAGGAGAACTTATTTTTGGAAGTCAAAGGAAGAAAGGTAGGAGGCTCTTGGAATTTTGAAATAATTCAAAAGTGCCCGAGTCTACCCTGAATTGAAGAATATTTTAATTCATGTTGCAAATTTTATTAAAACGTTAAGATTATATTTCTAGATTGTGGGGACTTATAATTTTGGGTCTGCCCCGCATCCTAAATCTAAATTGGGTATTGAACGATAGTAATTGGAACCTAGCAAATATAGTGCAAACCTGGACTTACACCGGCTTAGATTGAAAAGCCAGCTAACCATCTAGGTGCTTAAAATCCATGAGTTTGGTCTATTATACAAGAATGGTAGGGATGTTA